CTTCAACTTTTCCAGAGTGTTTTTAAACTGCAGTATCTATACTTCTAATTAAGTAGCAAATGTGTGAACTTCTGACACCACTGAAAATAAGTGCATTTTTTCTTGCATTGAGGAGGTAAAATAGACATTTTGCCAATGGAACAAGACTATTTACATTTAAAATAACAAAAAACAACTGCATTGTCTCATTTTAAGTGCATATTATCAAATTATCTCATGTTAAAAGCAGCAAATCATCTTATTTGCTGCTGAAATTAAGGGTGAATACACTTAAAATAAGAAATGTTGACCTATTTCTAGATTGTTTTTGAAGTGCACTGCAAAAAAGAAATAAATTTAAGTCAATTTTTTCAAGAATAAGTTTATTTTCCCTTGTTTTGAGTGGATACAACAATTTAACAATTTGTATTGTGATTTACATTTAAAGGAAGAAGAAACTACTCCATCACCTTATTTTAAGTGCATAATATTTCTTTATCTTTTTTTAAGGGTAGAAATCCTCATTCCGCTGGCCGATCATCTCAGATTACCGGTTCTATACTTCTACATCTATACTTATCATCTATACTTCTACTTAAGTAACGAATGTGTGAACTTTTGACACCACTGAATTCCACTAACCGGTGATAAAAAGGGAAGAATTTCAGTCTCCGTTTGAATGAAAGAGGCTGATGCATTATTTTTATTGCCTTTGGGCCTGAATATAGCTTTTTATTCTTGGTTTTGTTCTGCTTAACATTTTTTAAACTACAATAAAAGAAAATCTACTAACTTCCTTTGCTGTCTGATCTGTCCTAAAACTGATAAATTATTGATTACTACAACTATTGATCATAGTTGTAAAATTGTGTCTTTGTAAGTCGCTTTGGATAAAAGCACCTGCTAAATGCATAAACATAAACGGACATAAAATGTGGTTAAAATGATCGTTTAACTGAAAGCGGTGCCTAATGGGATACGGTTGCTAAGAGACGGCGTACCTGTTTCTGGTTGTTGAGGTGCATTTCCCGGTCGGCCACCTCATGGCGCAGCCTGTCCACGTCCTGGCTGAGCTGCAGCCGATCCTCCCGCTCATCGGAGGCTTCGTCCAGCTGCTTGGACAGGTAGAAGTTCTGCCGGTTCAGCTCGGCGTTCTCCTGAGTGAGAGTGGTCAGCTGCTCCTCCAGGTCAGTGATCACCTGAACACAGAGGGAAGAACTTAGATAAACGCTGAAATCATATTTCTGGAAAGAGAATTTCCTGACTCTTTTTTTATTTCACAGATTCCATATAAAAAGGACAATAACTGACCTCTGAACTTCCCTGACCTGCTCTGCTGTACCTTATGACTTTATGTTTGCAGAAGCCGTTCCCATCTAAGGTTTATTCATATTTTATGGCAACAAATAAACCTGTTAATGGTCAAACTTAACTTAACGTCTTACTGTAATTTTCAGGTATTGAAATTTTTTTTTTGCTAGTTAAAAAAAAAAAAAAAACTTCTTTTATAAACAGGAAAACATTTTCTTGTGCATAATGGTGTGACATGTCCGATCTAATGACGATAGCGATCCACCTAGAATAATAAGGGGAGCATCGATTGATGGACTGATCCTGAGATCGACAGCCGGCAGATAAACGGATCTCATCCATCGATCTCTCACTAAGCATCTTGTTTACATTAGAAATCAGAATCTTCTGCCCATAAAACAAGTTTTAGTGTTTTGTTTATTTTTATCTAAAATAAATTGGTATCAGTCAAAACCAGAATCTGCATGTCTTTAGTCTTGGTCTTATAGATCTATAATCTTTGTAAAGATTGGTGATCGGCCACAAAATTGCAATCGGTGCAGCCCTACTAGAACTACATAGTTTGTACCTTTAGGATCTTTATCATCTAAAACTTGAGGACATAGGGACCCCTTTTTCATCATTCTGCTTCATTCTATCTCTAGTCTCCCCCTCTGCAGAATCTGTTAGTTCAATCTCTATCGTTCTGCAGAGTGGGAGAATA